TCTCTCTAAAGGATTCTTAACGTTGGATGCAGATTATTTACGTTGGATGCAGATTATTTACCTTTCCCAGCTTGGGGTTTATTGGCCACATGTAGATTGTGGGGTGATAAACTCTGTGGAGCTCTTTTTCCAGTATGCCAAAATTTTAGCTCTCTTCTGGTTTGCACACCTGGATTTGCTTCCCATGAAGGAAGAGGCAATGGCACGTGCCTGGAACTTGTCTGTATATATACACCCTTTGTATTGGTGGGTGCACATTTAAGAAACTACTTTATTTAGGATTTGTTTGAATGGCTACCTCCTGGCAACGTGAAGCTTCTAGAAAATGTCACTAGTGGTTAAGTTCTCTAAATAACAAACCTTTTGGTTTTGGCTACACGTTATTGGTCAGGGTGTGGGAATCTAGTTTGATTCTTTAGTTGAGTGAGATTTCTCACGGATGGCACAGCCCAAATTTTTAAGCATTAAAGAACATTTCCTTCCAAGTAGCTGATGATTTATTAACACAGCAATGACATGTTTGAAGCTGGTTTTTAAGCTGGCATTGAAATAGCCCTGGTATTTGGTATTTAAGTAGCATTTCCCTGTTTTTTGTTTAAGTACCTGTTGATGCTTTTCTTGACATCCAGGTGTAATAGAACTGTTTTGTACTGCTGGGATGGATGTGTGTAAATATAAACCGTTACAGGCAAGATATCTGTCATGTTTGCAGCTTTGTATACTTCTTATACTGGAGTATGGTAAACATGAGATGTGCAAGATTTTCCAGTTAGCTCAGAAAATTCCCATGATAGTATGTACTGTTACTGAATTTAAAGTTATCACCTTCACTCTAGGTCTGAAGTTTCAACTGTTGCTACTCATTCCTTTTTTTTCTTCTTGTCAACAAGAATCTTTCTGCCATAGCCTTGCTGGATTGATTTCTTTCATGATGACTATTTGTTACCTGATACCAGTCTAACTGGAGGGCATACTACTTGTTAGTCCATATAGGATAAGCTTTTGATACACAATTATAGGAATATACACAATTTTGCATAGTACAGCAGAGTCTCCAACAGACTGTACTAATGTGCTATGGCACAGAGAGGAAATTTTTTAATAAAAAGTATTTGAAGTCAAGTACTGACAGAGTCAGTACTCTGACTGAAAATAAAAATTCAGAGCTGTCAGTTTTGCGCTTATTTCATTTACAGGCAGGGACAAATGTAAATACATAGCAGTAGAAACGGGGATTTTGAATTCTCAACACAACCTCAGAGGGCTTTTCCCTTTACAGGAAAAAAGCGTCCTTCTCATCTGTAATGACCTTTTCATGCCCCCCCTCGAGAGCCAACCAAATGTAATGTTCAGTGGTGTCACAGGGATCAGAATCCACTCCTGGCTTCCAAATGTTTCACTAGGTTGATTACTTAACGTTTGCAAATGTACTGAGAATTGGATTATATTTTGCATATTTCAGCATAATATTGAAAAACAGTAATTTTTTCTGTGAAAATTATATAATTGAGACACTTTATTTTAAACCATGAATGTGTTCTCTCAGTTTTAATTTTACCTCTAGGTTACATCAGAGTTTAACAGGGTATCACATACAACTTTTTCCTCTTGTAAAAATTAACCTATTTTAAAACACTGGGAACTTACAAATCTTTGTAGATATTACCTTCTTATAAATTCCCACAGACATAGAAGAGTGGTCCATGACACACCCAAGACTATACAATGATTTTTAGAAAGCACTATCTGAAGTAGTTCCCTACAGAAGGGTAATTCAATGAATGTATTATTGATACAGAGCTATTAATGCAGAACAGTTGAACTTAAGTGAGGCTTATGGTGAAGGATCCACTCTGGCTTATTTGCTTACATATATTTTATTTGTAAATGTGAATGTAGAAGTTTCTTCTGTATTAAGCAGCAAAAATTATATTTGTGAAGTGCTGATTTGGTTTGGTGGCAGTGGAACCTTTCTGCCACGAATGACGTTGCAGGCTGAAATGAACGCTCAGCGTTGTCCTCCTGCAGGACTGCCACGTAGCTGCTCAGTCACCACAATCTAATATACCCTTGAAAATGGAACGGTCTAAAAGTAGCTGCAGTATTTGGCCACTCAAAGGAATGTTTTTATGCAGAATTATAGGGCTTGTAATATTCCAGAGGTCCAGTAGTTTTCCTGTCTGCACATCCCATAGTCCTTGTCCATCTGTGAAATACCAAATTAGACTGAATAACCTGATTTTCCTTACTATTTTATTTCAGACCATATTTAATATCCTAGTCCTTCTACTGTAGCTGGGAATTGACTAGGAGGCTCCAAGGATATTTGTTTTCTCTCCTAGTAGTTGTCACAAATATTTGCCCCCATTGTGATTATACTCAAAATGACTCTGCTTGGCAGTTTACATCACTACTGCCACTCAAAAAAAAACGCCCCCAAAAGTCAAAAAAGTTGGAGGAAATGTGAAATCTGGGAGACAAGCTGCTTTGGATGTACTTCCGTGCTGGCACTTTCCAAGGAAATTCTAATTATGTTAACGTCTTCAGCTCTTGCTTTGGTGCTTTTCTTTTTTTAATTAGCAGAGTGTTTATGAGAGCCCCTTTCCTTTTCCCCTCAGGGAGGTGTGTAAAGCAGCCCTTGTTCCTAGCAAGTGCAGAGCCCTGGGGCACTGTCCCCCTGAGGTGGCCACCCTGCGGGGCACTTGTGGTGCTCCCCTACTGTGTGTAGCAGCAGTCTTTCCTCTTGGCTGTTTCTTGTCACTCTTCTGGGAGCGAAAGATCCCAAGTCCATTTCAGCATAGCTCTGTGCACACAGGGACACCGTACAATACATATTTATTTATGATTAATGGAAATGAGTGTGATCCTATGCATAAATTGGTTGATGAGTACGAAGCCTTGTCAGGCACTCCATTAAGGCTGCACAGGAAATTCTAAAGCCAATTTGACTTCTTTTTCTCAACTGACTATAATTTATGTTTGGATGTTCAGCTTTTAGACTTAAATCTTTTATGCTTTTTGGATAGAGACACTGAAAATTATTCCATCTGCTTTAGTCAATAAGAGGATTGTAAGCAGCACATTCTTGCTAGAAGGCAGAAAACCTGACGTGCAATATTTTCTTTTCGGTGTGGTTACAGTAGACGGCATTGGAAGACATACAACATGCACGCCTCTTCTCTGCAGCAGGAGACACTGCAAATTTGTAAACTAGTAAAGACTTTACGATATATAGTTCTCAGTGTTGAAGCGAAAATCTGATTTTGAGTTATTAAGTTTGGAAAATATAATTCATACACCTGCATGCCCTAGATAATAGAGGATATAAACTAATGGTTTCCCACTTTTCTGTTGGAATGGCTTATGTTACATAAAAAATCAGAGAGCGCTCCTTTTAATTTACCTGTGACACTGTGATATATTCAGACCAAGGCAGCCTGAGAGAGAAAGAAAGAGGTCTGCATGGCCAGACTTCTGCAGTAGTCACTACTAGCCATCCAGCAGAGTGGAATATCCTTTGAGACTCTGCTACGGTCTTGTGAGTTTAGAAGAATCCTCTGGCTTAGGGGTAGATCCACCAGTGATTGCATGTATTCTCCTTGTCTTCTCCTGCCTTCACCCTCCCTGAGGCAGGTTAACTGTATGGCAACAGCAATAAGAACACCATCAATATCCATTTGGAAAACTGTCTAAAAGAGGACCGAGCAGAGTGAGGACAGAACAAGTTGTTTATTACATACTCTTCTAGCTGGAACAAAACCTGAAAGTTAACAAGGCATTGTTGAGTACAAATGACTTCTAAATTCACTTACTGCAAAGCAGATTTTCCAGTTATAAAATGAATCAAATGGTTCTTGGATAGCTGAAAAACAAGAAAACCAACCAAGGTGACAACATTGCGTCTGTATGAAATGGAGCTCTGCTTGTTATTTAGAGGTGTCAAATGAAATTTGAGCCGAGCCTTGTGAAGGAGAGTCATCTGTGGGTTTGTTTTCTGAGCCCTGAGTACAGCTTTCCTCTGTGGGCATTTTCTTTAGTAGTCCATGCAGTGTTGCCACCTTAATTGTCAACAGGAAAACCATAAACTCAAACTAGTTTATTGCCTCAATCCAAATCTTGATCCTCAAATCACTGGGAATTTTGATTTGCAGCTGTGTAAGTCCTGAACTGCCAAAACCTTCAATAGAGTTGCAAACCTAAACCAGAACTTGATTCTAATTTGCTCGTGTTCCACCAGCAAATATATTTTTAAAAGATGGAAGCGTGTGATATAGATGAGGAATTACACTACATTCCAGCTTCCCTGGAAGCCCTCCCTCTTGTGTAAGAGCAGGGGTGCATGTTCTGTGTTCATCTGGTTGACAGATATGGGGGCTGAGCTGAAGAACGTAAACAGTTTGCTGAGACGTAGCAGAAGTCCCCAACACCTTTGTAGAAGAATGTAAAATCTCCGCCAAAATCCAAAACTTGCTATGGAATGGAGAACACATGGTCAAACCAGTATTTATTTCACGTTTCCTCCTTTTCCCCAGACTCCCTCGGCATTTTTTTGTTCGGCATTCTAGTCTTACACAGATACCAAGAATTTAGATTGCGGATAATACTGGTATTATTATATAGCACTTCAGGGGAGAGGCTGAATCTTGCATGTGAACACGAGCTGGGATGCAACAGGAGGGCAACGCAGCTGGGACAGAGAACCAATGGGACTGTGAAGAGCAGGAGAAAGACAAATTTTTGCATGTGTCGCAGATGAAAATTGAAACATTGAAGTAGTGGTGATCAGGAGACAGTCCCTGTGCCAGCAGCAGGTGGGACCCCAGTAAGCCCCAGTGTGTCTCTGGTGGGTTTTTATGTGTGTGTGTGTCTTCAAAACGGAGCTAGATGGAAAGTGGTGAAAAAGGCCGATACCACGTACAATGGCTGCACAGCTGGGGCTGGAAATGCAGTTGCATGAGCCTTTCCATTAATCCCCTTTTCATTTCTTCCTTCCCTTCCAGGTGCAAGTGGGAAGTACACCTCAGGACCAAAGAATTGTGGGATACATTTCCTGCACTCACTTGCAAGCTATTGCAGGTACTGTCCTGATTTGTGTATCTTAGTTTGTTACTGTTTCTAGGCCTGTGGTGGTGGTGGTCTTGTGCCAGAGTAGCAAGGATTGCTCCTCCAGTATTTCTGACAAAGTGCAGTCAGTGTGCATTGCAAATTGCAGTGAAATAGTGAAGAAAGAAGGGTAGATAAATACATCCCCAAACCTTCACATTTTCAGTCTCAGAGTAATTAAGTACTGCAGGACACAAACAAAAAATAGCCCTTGAGAGCTTTTCTTCTTTTTGCTCCCTCTTAAACAAATACTGCTGTTTTAGCAAATACATTACTATCATCATTAGTCAACAGCATTTAACAACCCGTATTGAGTATCAGCATATAAACTAAAATTTCTTTGTACATAACTAGGGGATTATCAGAAGATACAAGTTCAGACAGTTTTTCTATCGGAAATCAGTGGCTGGAATAAGGCCAAATTCTCTGCATTTTTGACCTGCAAATTTCATACATAAATGGCTAGCAAGTTAATACACTCATTGAAAATTCCTACTCAACCATCTTACGACCTTTTATGACCTTTTTTATGATAGTATCTCAACACTCAGCTCTCCTTCTAATATTAACATTAATCAGAACAAGACTGAGGTAGATGAGTGGCCTTATCTCCATTTTACAGCCCAAGTCCAGAAGGCGAGGGGAAGAAAAGTGAGTAAGTTCAGGTTGTTTTATTCCATTTTCAGTGTTTTGATGCATACGCTTTGAAATCAAGATATTTCTCCATTTTAGCTGTTTGCCTGAACACTCATCAATTAAAACTGACAAATACTTGAAATTCTTGGAGATGTCTGTGGAAAGTTTTCCATGTATCTCTGCCATATTTTGCATCAAAACTATCAGCTCTATACTTAGAGTAGATGTAGCAATAAAAGCCAAATCTACAAACCTTTACTTTGCATAAGATCAGAATTTAATTTAGCCAGAGGGGGTGGATATCCTTAACGCAACTGCGATTCTTGTGCTTCTGAGAGCTGGAGAGCATGACATAGCCCTCCTAGACTGCTTGAAGACAGCATGTAGGCTGCAGACTGAGGCAAGACAGTGATGTATTATAAATGGTAGAACTTTGAACCTATGTGCTACAGCACGTCTAGGTTAACCCAGTCAGGCAGCTAGCGTTCATTTTTTGTCAGTGCTTCAGTTGCAGAGACAGACTTGGGAACAAAACTGCCAGTCCCTGAAGTACATTAGAGAGACTGGATAGTTCTAAAGAAGAGTCATGAATTTTTCAGCTACATTTTAACAGTGTGACATCCTTCCCTGGTTTTCTATTTTTAACTCTGGAGTTATGGTAATGTACTGTGAGATTCCTGTTGTGGAGCTGAGATTTATTGTTGTTCTAGTTTAGGTTATAAACCTCCATTTTTAGTCCCGTTCCTTTTTACTACCTAGTTATGTATTCTCTATTAGTCTTTGATAACCACATTGCGAATTCCCTAAAATATTAAAGAGGGAGAGGGAGGAGGGAAGAAGAATGGGGAAGTAATGTTCTATTTTCAAAGTCAGCCTAAAGCTTCTCCAAGGGTGAAACACAACCCTTCATTTTCCCACTTATGTTCTTGCTTCATATTTTTTATCTGGTTCAAACTACATTCAAATAGAGTAGCCAGTGATTTAAGAGTTAAACTAATATGATATATCAAAGGACAATTAATGTAATGAAATGGAAAACTCGAGTTCATAAGTTTGGCAGAGCTGTGCTTTCTGATTTGTATCATCTGATTCATAACATTTCACACATTTAAAAAATTGTCCAAAAACCAGTTCGACGATGTAAAGATGTGGTATCTATAAAAACAAGTGCTATTTAAAAGGTTAGCCATTTAAATCATCTTGTCACACATAGCTGAGTGGAATTTGGCTTCTCTTCTAGGATATATAAACTTACACTTGACAGTTTTGATACTTACATGAGTATAAAATGAAAAGATCCAACTGCTATGGTCAGTGATGAACTACTAATGCTTTTCTCAAGAGATGTGCTGGCTCAACTCTGTTCTGAGCAGTTACTATTTTTTCAGACCTGACATTTGCCTTTTTCAATAAAATTTTAGAATTAAATGTAGCTCTACCTGTTACTGAATGGTGCGTGAAGCAGCTCTTCATTTCCACTGTGGAAATAGCTGCATTTCAGTGACAAATGAAGGGATCCTTTAATGAGAATCGAATGTAATTATTTTCCAAGGGGCAGTTAAGTTTACATGGTTCTTTTATGTCTTTCAATTAGTCAGTGATTAATTGTTCTGGACAGTTTGGCTGCCTAGAATCCACCCACCTCCCAAGTCCCTTGGAGACATGCCTTTCAGACACCCCACCAAGCCATTAAACAGAGTAAGCCTCAAGCTATTCCAGGCCAGACCCAGACGATGTAGCAAGCTGGATGCTCTCTCATAACCTTGTTCACATCACTGTTATGCATTTAGTGTGAATCTAGTTGTTAGCAGTACAGGTACTGGCAACTCGGGCTTCTCTAGCACTGGTTTCAGGTTCCACAGGCCTACACACAGCTTAAGCGGAACTCAGCTCGGGACTGAGAGATGCCTCAGTGTTTGATTCTGACTGCACACTGAGGAGTACCTTCAGCGCTAAGCGTCCTTAGGCAGTGATTCCCCATGAAATAGCAAAGCTGGCATATCCATGCCGTGACAGCTGGCCCTTGCCCCTCCTCTCAGTTGTGCTAACACAGCTGTTGTAGGCTGTGTTGCACTTGACTGGGGACCTGACCTAGCTCAGAAGTAACCCAGCAGGATAAAAGGATTTTTTTTGTTGTTTTGGATTTTTTTGGGTGGTTTGGTTTTATTTTGTTTTCTCAGCCTATCCTGGAGTAAGTATGTTACAAGTATAGCGGTCTGCCTAATCTGTCACACAGGCAAGTGTGACAGCCTTTCCCATGGCTAAACTGAAGCCTTTGGTTGTGACTTGGAAACAATTTTTCCTTTTGGCTAGGCTTTACATCCTACACTTCACAAGCTTTTTTTGTGTTATCTTCCCCAGGTTCCCTGCCAATGTATCCCATAGCGCTTATCTGTGCTGAGAACTCTGGTTTTAAAAACCTCCATTGGATCTTTTAATTTCCTCTGGCTGGGCCTGTCAGCTGCTTTGTTCAGCCACCACAGTGCTCCTTCTAATGTCTTTCAGAGTAGGACAAAACAGTCATCCTCAGTGTATAGTACCTGCCTGCAGTTCTAACTAAAGCCAGGATTTCAGTTAAGCATTTATGCTGGTTGAGGTTTCCCACCCAACCCTTTCGTCTTTCCACAAAACTTGAAGCTGAAGGGAACTTGCAAAGAATTCAGAAATGCTGACGGCAGGAACCAGTCACAAAACAATTATTTGCATTTTTCCAGGCCAGTTACTGAGGAAAAGAGTGTAGAGCAATTAGCACAAACCTGTATTCTCTGGTTAATCACTGGTGGCAGCCAGTCAGGTCAGTGATTCTATCCGAACATTTAATTGGAGCTGAAGGCTGAAAGTAGTAGTTGAATGTTATAATGTTGGGAGGTACTGCCTAGTTCTCCTCTGTTAGTATTTACTGATGCTGTTTCATTTCAACAGCAGTTTCTGAACTGTCTGCTCCACTGATTGTTCTGGATTTAGGTTTGGCTTCTCCTCTACTTAGGTGTCTGATTAATTCAGTTACCTTCATCTCCACAGCTATTGATCACTGGGAGCTGCTAAGAGTGAGTTTCTCTTCTGCATACAGATACATGCAGTACCTCTGTGTAGCTGCCATAAGGTGGATACCATTAATTTAATATTAAGCTCAGAAAACAGTTATATTCAAGGATCCCATCTTTTGTCAGAGAAATGTAGCTCACTTCATCGCACATGCTCCACATAGTGTACTGATGTGCAATTACTGCTATGACCTCTAGTGGGGATAATCAGTGATGCTAGACTATGCCAAGGTCTACACTTTCTCTAAAAAGAAATGAAAGTCTTCTGTTTCTAGAGTTCCAAGCCTGCTGTTTTTCTGTAGAGCCCTGAGGTTATCTGGAGTACAGTGCTGCTACAAAGGCTCAGCATTCTTACTGAGGTCTCCTTGTGTCACTATGTAGTTAATGATTTTTAGTAATAGCAATGCATGTTACCAGACTCCTTTCACAATATCCTCCTAAAATGTTTTTGCCTGTGTATCTTTTGTTTTTTTTCAAGAGTTTTCTGTTTTGGAGAATTTTACCTTTGTCTTAAGTGGCTTTGCTACATTTTTTCACACTGGTCTGTGACAGGTTGCTGCCTGAGTTCTATGCCCATAATGGCCGCATTATTTATCACTCATCCTAGTGAAGCCATGCTGGATGGATAATTCACAGCAAATGTAAAAAAACCCAACTTGACAGTTCAGGGATGTAAAAGCCTGTCTTAGTTAAGCAATTTATATAATCGGGACTTGGTGGGGAGCAAGACAAGTTACTGCATTCTTGTCAACAAGCACCATGCTTAAAAATTATGAGGAAACAAAGGTATGCCAGAAGAAAGTACTTCATCTCTGAGGACAGAAAGATTCAGATGCTGCAAAAGGAGAACAGTCCATGAATTTGAGTAAGCTTCACCAAGAATGAGAAAGCTGGGACTGTTCAGCTTCCAAAGAAGGCTCAGGAAAGATCTCCCCAAAGTGTGTAGGGACCTGATGGGAGGGTGTAAGGAAGATGGAGGCAGAGTCTCCTCAGCTGTGCCCAGTGACAGGACGAGAGGCAATGGGCACAAATTGAAATGCAAGAAAGGCCATTTAAACAAAGGAAAACATTTTTTTATTGCAAGGGTGACTGAGCCCTGGAACAGGTTACCAACCATGGAGATATTCAAAGCCTAAATGGACACAGTCCTGAGCAACCTGCTGTAGGTGACCCTGCTGAGCAGAGGGGTTGGACTAGGTGATCTCCAGCCATCCCTGTCAAGCTCCTGCTTTCTGTGAATCTGTAATTTCGTCTGTATCTTTAATTAAGCAGAATGTGTATGTTAGTCCCGCACACCTTTTGCCGTTAGTGTTACCTGCTCCAGGCTGTATTTATTCCACATGACCTATTTCTTGTGCTTTTGTCTAGCTACATCTTAACTGTAGGGCTTGTTTGTGCTGTTGTAGCAAGGGGTTTTCCCAAGAATACATTGGTCTGGATTTGTGTCAAGCTGTGTGATTAGAACACTATGTGAACTTGAGGTACCAGTAACTAGAAACTGCAGGTTAGGGAGTAGATCCAGGAAACACTTGTGCCTGCTTTTATATTACAGCCCAACTGGTAAAGATTTGTTGGGAATAATACATGAGTGGAAGAAAAAAAATTGGATTATTTGCTGTTGGAATTACCAATCTGAAGAGAAGAGTCAGTGTCAGAACCTTCTTAAAGCGCTCTCTTTGCCTGGTCCTGTTCTTTTCAATATTTCTTTTAATTATTTAGGATTGTATCAAATCATGCTCAGCTGAACATTTCTGATTCAGTTTGTATTTAAATGTTGTTTTAACACCTTCCCCCACCCCGAGATGTTCATGAAAATCAAACCCTTCACAGGTTAATAGCGGTAGGAAAGTGAAGTCCTAATGCCTGAAGTTTGTCCGTATGTTAATGCAGTGACAGTGTGCTGTGGAGCTCACATCTTAGAAGTCCATAGAGTCCTGGTGATGGCTGCAGTTGAGATGAGCAATTAATACACTGTGAGGATGTAGACCTAAATATTCACTGTCTCCATAGTGGCCACTGAAAGCAGCTTTGGACATAGATAACTGATGTTTCTAATTATGTTTTACACCTTTTTAGTACCTAGCACAAAGTAGTAAATTAGGTTAAAATTAAATTGTAGTCAGAATAAGTCATTCCAGGTTGCTGCTTTTCCTTCCAGTTGTGGCATTTGAAAACGAATCTTTTATTTTGAAGAAAAGTAATGTTGGTCTGACTTGACGTATCATTTCAAGTCTGAAACAAGCAGAATTATAACTGTTACCTACAGGTACAGTGAAAAGGAAAGGCAATATGGTAAACAATTATTTCTAGAATGTGTCTCTTCCTGCTCCCTTCCCCACATCAAGCTTTTGCTGTAATCATTTTAAGAGAGCCAGTAATTAATTTTTTCTGAGACTTTATGTCACCTTATGTGCTTGAAATAGTGTGGTTAGTTGCTATAATTAAAGAGCTGTTTTGTGCATCGGATGGTTTCACAAACAAGTATTTGGCAATCAATCCATCTCAACCCTTTCATATCACTCTGATAAAATGGGGGCACATCCTCAGCACTTGTAGCTTGGTGTAACTTCCCTGCAACTGGTGAAAAGGATTTGATTCTTCATTTCTGAAGCACTGCCTACCTAAACCTGTACCTACACATACTTATAAAATATTAAAAAAATACTTCCAGTACAGGCATTCTTACTTGAACACAAACAGAACCCTTCCTCGGATGGATTACTACAGTATGAGTAAGTTGAATTTCCTATTGGTGTATATTTCCTATTAACACTTGCAAATTAAATTTTACATTTCCAAAAATCAGAAAGCAAAGTAAGAACAAGTGGTTTACCCCAGTTTTGTCTGAAGTAGGATTTTTAACTCTGAACTCCTGATTATAAAAGTAGTGCATCAGCTCATCCTTCTCCTGTGACTAGAAACACCATCATTTTGGTTAGTTGGCTGCAACACAGATGCCTTGTCTTCTTATTTCTTCAGACATGCCTAGTATGATTGATTCCAGAAGGAGATATTTAAATTATCAAAAAGCGTGGTTCCTAATGAACTTCATAATGGGCTAAGCACTATGTACTGAGTATACTATTATCCCACACTATTTTTTTTGTTTCAAGATGTCTACAATAGCTTAGCAACTAATATGTAGCTGAGTAACCTGCTAAAAGGAGGTCTTATTTCTTGGTTGGTTTGTTTGTTTGCTACAGGAGATACTACTGTTCGATGTGAGCAACTGGATATGCTTCAAGATTGGCTGTCTGAATTCAGAAAATCTACCTCCTCCTCCAGTACAGCCAATCCAGAGGAGCTGGTGGCATTTGATGTAATCTGCGGAGATCTCAACTTTGATAACTGCTCCTCTGGTGAGACAAGCTTCTTCTGGTTGTCTACCTGTTCCAAAGAGGAATAGGAACGTTCTCGATTCTTGTGGGTTGTAGCAGTATACCAATTGTCACTGAGGTTTGCAAGGAAAGACTTAATTGCTACAGGTACTTCTCAAAGAGGTACTAGCCTTGAGATGAGCCAAGAAGATAGTAGCTCACACTTAGGAGCTCTGCTGAGTTATTAAGCATGATGTTTTTTAAGGCACAAAGGGCAATAATTTGTGACTTGTGGTAGCAATGAGGACAGAGCCAGTGGTTTTACTTTTACTTGAATTAGGTAGACACCTGCTGTCTACTGAAAGACATGTATGTTATGGGATTTTTATAGAGAAAAAGTAGTAAATTCATGCAGTTAATAATTTGATAGTGCATATACACAGACATAGGAGATTAATGCTGCAGAGAGAGAACTAAAAATTGCTGAATCACTCTTGGAAAAAATTAAGTGATGCCATGTACTTCTGTGAGGGTTTGGTTTTTTTTTAATAAATTTTAATTTTTTTTCTCTATGCTTGTGGATGCTGGGGGTACTAGAAAAAGAACTCCGCAAAACAGTAATTAATGGGTGGTGAGTTTACAGAGAGGGTAGCCTTTTCCAAACATAAATATTATGCTCTGTTAACAGTTAAATTGCCAATACCGAGAGCAGAGCATTTTGTGTCCTCTCTGCCTCCCTGTCGGTACAGCTCAGGCATCCAGCAGAGCTCCTTGCTGGCTTTATACGATGGCAATTGACTCTGCTGCTTTGGAGCTGGCAAATGGCTCAGCAGTGCCCAGCAGCCACCATCCCGCAAAGCTGATGGCTAAAAGGCCTTTTGCGTGACTGGCCCAAAAGTGAAGCACTGAGATAAAGAGCGCAAGGCAGGTACAGGACGGGGGGGTTCATCATAGGGATTTCATCTGTGCTGCGTGTTACCAAGGAGATGTGCAGCACACAGGCAAGCTCAGGCTGCAGCAAAGTGGGAGGCAGCAATTCAGACCAGAGTTTGTGGATTAATGGGTAAATTTGAGAACAGTATCTGGTGTGAATTCTGTAGTCTTCATAAGAAGCCTAGGTAGCCGAGGCTGAGTAACAACTGTACCAAAAATAATTTTAAGAAACAAAAAGCAAGCATTGTCTGATCTCAAAAGAAACATTTAATTGGGTAGAAAAGACCATCAACCCAAAACACAGCCCTTCTGTTGTTCACTTCTAGCTTGTATGTACAAAAAATAAATCAGTCACAGCTACGTGATCCAAAGTAAACTCAGAACGGTCTGAGAAGGTGCTGGCAAGTGCTCTGACAGGTAGAAGAATCCGTCAGTGGTAATGGCTACAGATTATTGTAGTTAAACACGTATCAGGATACAGTCTAACAGTAGCAGGGGTAGCGAGTTTTTAGGGAAGGAAGGAAGAAGTGTGGTCAATAACAGCTTGGCTAGCTGAAGACCTGTTACACAGACAGGCTGAGGTGGCAGTTGCAGCAGGCCAGATGAAGGGAGACAGAAGCAGGATACAAATGAACACATCTGCTGTGGTTTGGCTGTTTCACTGGAACTATTGTTGGATGGCTGGAGCAGCCTGGAGGCAAAGATGTCCATCAAGGAAATAAACAAATCTGCTGCATACCAAAGGGGAGACTGCCCAGTCAGATCACGAATCAGAAGTGAGTGGGGCTGTTGCAGCATGAGGAGAGAGACGGGAGTGAAGCTGTGAGGCAGAACATATGGTCAGTATTGTCTACCTGAGAAGTCTTGGCACTCCAACCAAGATCTTGCACAAGAAGCACAGAGTACAGTTAATGCTGTTGTGAGCTGTCTTGTTAAAGCGAAAGTAAAAACAACTATTTGCTTTTGCAAATAATAATTGCAGACATTGCAACTACTACTAAAGAGGACTGAAAAGTAAGTTATAAAAATCCATTTTATTTTTGCTATCTCTGTCGCTTATTTACATTCCCCCTCCCTCTTTAAAATTCACTCTGCCTGGAAACTGAATTTAAGCTATTTCATTTTTTTATTTTTAGATTGCTTTCTTTCCTTATGCACTAAGGAAGATTAATGCAATGTTTTAAAGTTTTCTCCATTTTTACGTCACTCATTCTTTTAGGGATATTTGTTAGCATTACAGAGAATTGAACATCTTAAGATTTTTTTTTTTTTAAAAGCAGTAATCAGCTTCCTGTAATTCTGTATTTGATTTTTTCTATACTTTCCCACTCCACAGACTGATACGGCAAGTAATTAATGTTTCAGTGAATATCAAGGTTCTATTCTTAGATGTATTGACAGTACAGTTTTCAAAGATCTCTAGGTCCATGAGTTAGGCTTATGACAAATCTTCTGCAGCTCAGTTTTCCCCTCCAGCTTTAGAGAACATTATGACAACATTCATACAGTGAATTCACACTTTGTGGTAGCATTATTAGAAAGTACCTTACTGTCAGGTTGCTTTGAACTGACTTGTGTAAAAGTCCATTGTGTTTTTACATGTTTTAGCATAAGATAAAGTCTTCCAGTCAGATGGGTTAAATTTGCCTCACCAGCTCTTGTCGCTGTCAGTGCCACAGTTGCAAATTAATCATGACAAAATTTTAATCCATCTTGGTTTTCTGGGATATTTTGTAGACATATGACAAGGGAAAACTTGGAGAAATGAACAGTTGCTCAGAATTCATCTTTTACTTTTCCATAAACAGGAAACAAACCAATTGGCTGTTCAGAGAGGAAGAGCAATTCTCTGCATTGCACACCAGGCAAATCATAGGGAGGCTCTGATCTTCTGCCACAACTCCAGGATACCCCAGCAAATCCACTTTCCAATCTCCCTGCAACTACGAGGATGTTCTCAAGATCAAGAGCTAGCTGGCACAGGGGAGGGGAGGGAAGCTAGACAGATGTGGTGAGACAGATCAGCTGGTGTGGATGCAGGAGCTGAAGGAGAGTCAGCTGTATTAATGAGTATTAATAACCAAACGGCAAAAGTGCCTACAGCTATGAACACAGTACTACTGTACTGCACGTTTGTGTTCTGCTTCCCTCTTAATAGGGAGAGGTCAACAGCTTCCTCACTTGGCAAGAACAGCATGTTACACAAGGAGATCTAATGTGACTCCTACAGTCTGTGAGATACACAGCTCACAGTGTAAAGTTTTGTTTCTGACTTTAGAGGAATCCATTTTCATGCATACTTACGTATTCTGTTGTCTTGGCAATAGACAGTGACAAATACGTTACAGCAGCAGCTCCAAACACAGGTGAATATTCTGTTGAAGAGAGAGCCTTCAAGTGTTGCTAAGAAGTTTTAACCTTGTAAAAGGTGTAAGTCAGTCCTGCAAGAAAGTTATCAGGAGCTGTTGCCAGTTTCTTTGCCATTCAACAAAAATGGAATTGTAGGAGCTGGTATTTTCAAGTTCTGCTTGTGCTTGTTTCCCAGGTATAATGATTGCTATGTTAAACAGCATGCACAGAACTAGAACTTGCTTATTTATTTGTTCAGTGTCTGAAATTCTGATGTATACATTTTTTGTAGGATATCTTACTGAATAATCCTCGATGCACTGTATGCTTTAAATGCAAGAAGCACAGTAGCTATTAGAAAGAAATTACTTTAAAGTTGATAAGCATAATCAGCATGACCTACAGTGGCTTTAATACTGTAGATAATATCCCAAGCAAATTATCAATTGCTTGTCCTTTCTTTTATCTATTAGAGCTTGGAAAACATTCCTTCAGTGAATTCCTCTGAAGCAAATAAAAGCACAAGCTTTTATCTTCAAACTTCCTGAGATGTGTATACACACCCACGCACAGCCATTTACATTGCCATTGTGAAGTCAGTCCAATTCTCCATTGTGTGATCTATCTCAACAAAGGTTTTGTACTGGTGTAAGCAATGCAATGTCAATGGCAGGGTAAGGAAATAACTTGGAAAACCTTTAGTTTACAGCTGGAAACTACCAAAAAATGTCTTTCATAGAAAGACTTTGTAGGAAAGCACTGTTATTAGCAAGCATTTGTTGAAATTTCTGATCAAGACAAGATACTGCTGTGCAGTAAAGCTACTAGTGAACTGGTTCAAAGCCACCCTGTACATATGTACACCGAGTAGGAGGGAGGACTTGCCTTCTGTGTTGTGGCAGAACACACAGTTGCCCAGAGGTTTACAACACGTAGCTGATGAGCTGATGTGCCTTTTCTTGGACTTGTTCTTTCTCTGCAGAGGACAAGCTGGAGCAACAGCATTCTCTGTTTACACACTACAAAGACCCGTGTCGAATTGGTCCTGGGGAGGATAAACCATGGGCAATTGGTAAGACCTTCTCTAGCTATCAGTCTGCAACATTTACTTGTCTCTCACATGACATCTGTAAGCAGCAAGTACTTCAGCTACCTGGCAGTAAAAATTTGGTGGACACCAAATATTTACAAGGAGTATTTCTGTAACATAATTTCATAAACCTTAGCAGTGTCTTGTTGAATTATAACATGAAATAGCAAATGTCAGTCCACATTCTAGAACTTATGCATCAAGCTACCTGAATGCCTTCCCACACCTATTCTACTTTTAAAATAATCTCTAGATTACTTTGGGGGGAGCGGGCAGGAGGGAGGAAAGCCAAATTATTGTTTCTGTACTTTCTGCCTGCAGCTTTTGATCAGAATGTTCCATCTGATGTTCTATAAATCCTGTAAGTAAGTGAGGATGTAACAAAGCAATTCAACAACACAATGAACTTGTAGTGTTCATCTTTTGTAAGATTTCATGGAACTCGGAGATATTCATACTTGGTGAATCTCAGTTGAGCTTGGTGAAGTTTTAGATCAGGAATTAGACTTTCTCTAGAGAAGCAATTATGACTGTGAAGATACTAAAGGTAAGAATGTGGAATTCTTTAATAACGTGGCTTCACTCTGTTGTAGCAGGAAAAAAAAAAATTCAGAGACATTGAGGCTGAGAACCTGGAGGCAACATTTTGAAAGGTGGCAGGTGGTAGGGGGGTCTGGATAGAGGAGCTCCTTGTAAAAACTAGGCAAAGGCTGCTCATCTAGACCGTAGGTAACAAACAGGTCAGTTCCCTGCCACTAGAACCTATGAACTTTTGCTAATCTCTTGTGCATATAGATTGGAAGTGGGATGCAAGGAAGAAAAGCTAATGCAAGAATGATTAAGGAACAAGAAACTAAGCATACGGAGTACAGGAAGGAGAAGCAGCAGAAAACAGTGAAGGTCAAGTTACGATTGGAATGTCTGCCAGGAAAACATAAGAGGCTTAGGCAGAGACTATGCTGTAGTTAAAATGGAACAGATGTATGGAGGGAGACAGCAAAAGAAAAGCTGAGGTACTAAGGCCAAGTATCCCCATCCTCACTGTTAGAAGAAATTGTTTTCCTATATTTATTCTGAAAATAAAGAATCAGACTAAAAGCACCCTTCAGTCAGGCGTGAGATGCAGTCACTGTCAAAAGCGTAACTGCTGTGTAGGGCTGTGACTTGTGTCAGAAGCAAACACAAAGCACTCTGAGTGGTCCCCTCTCCCCCACATGGATGCTCTCTTCACAAACCTGCGCCTCTGGGGCTTCCTGAGAGGACATCACAGGAGGTACACTGGGACAGTCACATCTCCCTTTCTGTTCGCAGGTACCTTGTTGGATCCTGAAGGATTATATGATGAAGAAGTGTGCACTCCAGATAACCTACAGAAGTATGCAATTCCTAATCCTCCCACATACTTCAGACAATTCCCTAAAAAGCCAGTTTGTTGCTTGCTATTTAACATTGCACAAATTGAGGGGTGTTTCATGGACTGTAAAAACCCAAATGTAACTTTTTTTACTCAGGGGTACTTGGGGAAGAAGAAAAAAAGGGAAGGAAAAGTAGCTGCTTCTCAGAGTCTAATAGAATTGGTTTCAATGGGTGAATAGATGACAGCAACTGCAGTCAGTGTTTTTATGTATCAAGTTGGTCCTACCTGGACAGGCCCATAGGACAAGAAACTCCGAGCACTACGGAAAAGGGCACGTGGACAGCTTCTCTGAAAGTCTTTCTACAGGCAGCCAGTCACAGCATGGTAAAGGACAGCAACAAAAGGAAATGGAGTTTTCCTCTAATAAAAAACCCATCAAGTTTAAAACATCACCGCCAACCCAACAACTAACCACCCATTCTAGAAGGCTTGCAGATTCTGGTACACCTAAAAAAGCAAGCTCACAAATATAGAAAGGAGTTAAATAGCACATCAGACATAACTAGGAATATGGCTTAATATCTACCAGGGATACTAGTGCAGCATTACTTTTAAGGAGCATTTGATATTAAGAAATGGGTATCTTTTGGTCTGAGATAGTGGACTTGTGAGAAATTAAAAAAAAAAACACCACAAACCAAACCAGACCAGCTTAATTTGAAGAAGTCTTAAGATAAGTTTCTTGATTACCTGTACTGTTTGTTAAATAATATGCCAGGGGAGAGATATGAATAAGCTTTGTACATTTTAGAGCAGCATTTAATGAATGTGATGATAATACTTTTGTAGCTTCTCTACCTTGAAGGCAAGTTTAATGGACTAAATATGTTATTATCATGACTAACTATGAAAGATGTTTTAGCTGTTCAGTACCAAAATATACTAAAGAGGTGATGTTATTTGAATTAATGAGTCTGTGCAGATGCTTCAGTTAACACCCATAATGGAAATGGTACATTATATAGGCACAGTATAAACTGCTGGCATTTTTACTCACTAGGTACAGTACATATATAGATAGACACTTAGTTCAATGTATTAGGTGAGGCTACCCCTTCAAGTCTTCTTTGTATGAGTTTTGACCAAAGAAATTGACTTCTAAACATAAGGTCTGGGGTTACTTTATATTCAAAATAAGGATTTGTTACAGCAAGTCATGCTTTACACATTCAAAACCTTGCAAAATTTCCAGGCATTTCTCTTCATGTGTTGGAAACATGAATTTGGTTCATGTGAAGGGATCTCTGGAAAGCAAAAGTAAGGTAATTTGGCCCTAAAATCAAGTTTGTTACACCCACATACAGATTTGCATTTGCATTCTATTTTATGCTTCTAAAACTGTAAAAAACCAAACAACCCAAACCAAAAAACCAAACCAAACACAACCTCGCCCCATGTTTTCAAGCAGTCTTTTGTGACAATCTGTCACCAAATTACTTTTGGAGTATCTTGTTTTATTCCCTGAAGCATTACTTGTATTCAGCAGTTAAATTCCACTGACAAATACATAACTGATAGATAAAGAGCCATCAAATGATCAATAAAGATTTAAGAGCATTACTTCCGCTACCTGTGTGTATGTACAGCACCTCAGTATAACTGGAAAATATTCTTGAATGTTGGTGAACAGAATATACACGCAAGACTTTTTGCCTACTAAACGTGGCTTTCAGTTTTCTGCAATACATTGTAATTCTCTTAAACTGATGAAAACCCGCTGTATTAGACAGGACTTTCCACTAGCTTTTTACACAGATCTGCAGGCAAACAGGGATCTGCACCTGTACATTATGTAGACATGCCTATGTATTAGAGAAACTGTCACTTCCATGAGAGGCCAAGAGAGCCTGTCCTCACATCTCTGTGAGGGACTAGTACACATAAAAATTACCAATAAATTCAGTAAAATTTAAAGACATTAATGGAATCTGGACCTTAAAGACATTGAAAGCATTTTTATAAGTGTCTTTCCTAACATGTATCGATGAAGTACCTAGACACTATTGACAGCACAGCAGCTGTGGAGCACTGTTTAACAAGTATCCTTCATATACACAGCAAAACAGAGTACAGCCTAAAATTGATCCATTCTCATTTTTTTAAATAATAAACCTTGCTCAAGCTTTACAGACATTTAAATTGGCAGTGTGAGCTATCCAGAGAATTATTTCTTCATCAGCACCCTTCTCTATTTATAAATAAAATGAAGTAGTTCACATTATTAAACTAATTAGGTGATAAAAGCAGCAGAACTACTCATAAATATCTCTTTCATGTTAAGTACAGCATACGTAAAACATCAGACTAGAAGAACATACGTTGTACAAATAATTTATAATTATAGAACAATTAGTAAGCTATGTGTAACAATCTGGACACTGCCATAGTGCTGGAAGCCACACAAGCTTCTGCTCAGAACAGCTCATGAGATGCACACAAATAATCTCAAAGATGATTGTCACCTTCAAGCAAAGCACTGGAATAAATGAAGCCCATTTTTGTCTGTAAACCCTGAGCAGTCTGGCACAGGAGAGCACATTACAGCACAGCAAAGAAACAAGATTTAAATGCAATTTTTTCTAGACTCCACAACTGCCAGTTTTCACTGCTGGACAGTGACTCACAATTCTAGGTGATGGGTTGCACCACCAGTAAGAGGAGTGTCCCTTCACTCAAGTGCTTCTCACCTGAATGAGAGATGGTCCCTTGAGCTTTATGACAAGGAGTAAGGTTTGCTTTATACATACTGCTCTTTGTGCTGCTTTATTCATTGCAGCTACAGTCAGCACTACAAACAAACCATCTGCCAGAGAGCTGTGTGACAGAATTTCCATACGTAAACCTTGGAGTTATTTGGGACTGAAAAATCTTTCAAGGAAAAACATAAAGTTCCAATTACTTTTTTTATCTTCCCTTTCTTTGCATCCTATGAATTAAGACAATTATTCTGACAAAATTCAGGTTTAGTTGGGCAAGTCTGTCATAAGTAGTTACGTTCACTTAAATTGTTAGAGTTTAACTGTTAGCACAGCATAGCCAGATGTCCACTACTTTGTCTCTACAGGAAGTAGACACAAACAGCAAACCATTGCCTATAAAGTGATACAGGTTTTAGTCAGAAGCAGATGCATGCTCATTTCAATTTGTTTTCCTCATGTATTTGAAATTAACATTTCCCTTCCACAAGCAGTTGTGCAGGTCAAGTGAATACCCAGCATTCAAAGACTTTTAAAAGGACATAATTGAAGCTAAAGCAAATTCATTTTTTATATTAATGCAAATAAGATTATTTTTTTTTGCAGTAGTACTGCAGGGCTAATCAACAGTTTCTTCTACTTTGTCACGTAATTAGCTTTGCCAAATATAAATACCATTTTTGAAAGAGGTCACTTCTGTCAAAGAGCTTGCTTTCTTGAACCTAGAAAAAGAATTTCAGGAAGTGAATCATTTGCAGTAGCTCTTTGTAGAATCAGCTTGCAAATGGGGTGTAGACAATAAGCTAATTTAACACGAGTTATTAGATGACAGTCTAAAACTGAGTAATACATAAAAGGAAGTTTACTTTTATAAACTGGTTACAATAAACTCTAAGAACCTTCAATACCTCACTGAGTCTACAGGGAGTAAAGAAGAATTCTGATTAAATAACTGTATGACCATAATTTTGTCACAGTTATCTTTTGAAGGCACATCAAGGACTTCTTGTATGTACCAATTGACCCAAACTTACAGATTATAACACTAATGAGATCTAAACAACTGTAGCAAGTGCTGTGTCCTCTCTACCTCCATTCAGATCCTTCCAAAGAGACAAAATTTGACAAAGGAACCATGTGAATCTCAAACATTAAAACACATCACAAGAGTCTGGTGTTTGTCTCTTGTTTTTCCTTCATTCTGTACTCTCACATGCATGCATAAAAAATAAATCCTAAACCCAACTCCATAAAACCCATCCAAAGTCAAGTCTTAAAAACTGGGTGATCAAAAATATCTTATTTTTTTCCAAGGTGAAATTAAAGGCTTTGTACCTGCTAGGACCCAAGTTCATGGCTCAGTGTTTCTCCTGCGACAGTTGATGATGTAGCTTAATGGCGTAATCAACTCTTACAAGGGAAACCACAGAACCTTGAGCTCAGGTTTTGGCAGGTAAGTAAAGGAAAATGATTTTCAGAGGTGGTTTTGAAAGTAGTTTGTTTCTGTGTTTTGAGCCAGATAGATAGCAAAACCACAACCTAAGCTGTCCCTCTCCTCGCACAGTTATCATGCAAAATGACTGCGATGATTGTACTTGCTGTTAACTGTCTGCATAGTACCCCCACACATGCAGCTCCTGCTTGTGCGTGCACAGTTGTGTGTGTTGCCTTTAGCGCTTCTTTGGTGGATCTTTTAAGCAGAATACGAGGTAAACTAAGTTTTGTTTTAAATCCAACACAACAGCAAAACAGCACAGTAATGTACAATTATTGTAAAAACAGAGTGACAGGGACCTTTGTGGGTTATCTAGTCCAAAATGATGTTCAAAGCAGGGCTAACTTTGAAGTTAGATCAAGGTGCTTGGGGCCTTAATATAAAATCTATTTTTAAGGTTTAAACACTCAAACTAAAAATTTTAATGGGAGATTCTTAATTTTGACTGCTTCTATATAGAGCATTGGGCTGGGTAATCTCTGTGCAAGATGGGGGCAGTACTAACACACCCACTAATTAAGTCCATCTCTGTAGAGGAGTTTGAAGAGTCTCACATACAGGAATCAAATAAATTAGGCTCTCATTACCAGTGAAGTAAGAGCTTGGGGTCCGAGACACAGTAATCTGATGCAGAGGCTTGCTCAAAACCAACTACTACATGCCCAAATGTGTGCTCCTGAAAACCTCACCCATACCCTGTCTGTAAAGCTGGTTGTCTTAATTTTAAAAGGAGTTGCTCTTATCAGAATGGAGATGTTTGTATCAAAGTACTCAGGTTTGTTCTAAAGTAATCCATGAAACAGTTTCCTCCTCGGCTAGATTCAGCAACACTGAGGGGCTGTGGGCTGCAACATACTACAGACAGCAAGCCCGCAAGGTCCTCCTCTCAGATGTTGCTTCTCCTGGCTACAAGGGTAGGTCCACAGGCCCACTGTACTGCACCTGTGATGCCAAACCTGCCATGAGGCTTTAAGAGCACTGTCAGCAGTTAGTACAGCCTCATATGGGAAAACACATTTGGAAGAATACGTGCTTTACAAGTTTAACAGTCCTTTTGGACAGGCATTACCCTTATTGGGGATCTGGAGAGCATCTAGCATAATGCACAAAGGGACAGAATGAGCAAACATTTAAAGCACTTGTTTTGTTTTTTAATGAAATAGGGTGCTGGAAAGTGAAGAAGGAAGGAAAGGATACTTAGTCTATCCCACCAGCAAGAACCACAGTTCCAGTCAAAAGGGGAGGAAGGCATCACTGAAAGGAAACGGGAGGAGGATTGACTATATGCTCTATACAGAAGAAGGTCTCTACCTGGAATGGAAAGTGGTGAGTTTCATAGCGCCAAAACTCACAAAACAAACTTGTCTGGATGGCACTGCAGCCCATTCTGCTTGGGTTCAAATTCATACTCCAAGGAGAACCTGCTGCTTTGTTACATTCTATTTTTGCACACAAGTACCCAGTTTGTAAACCTATTACATAAATAAATCAGGGATTCGGATAGCAAGACTGGTAGATACACTGCTCTTCAAAAATAAACAACAAACCTTGTTTCCATTCCTTAAACTTTTGCCAGAGTGTTTTGACTGATGCTTTCCATGCCAGCAGTCTGAATTTTTAATCCATTTCAAATGTCTGGATATGCTTTTATTATGCCTATGAAAACCTACCTAAGTTACAAGTCTGTGATATGCAGGCAAAAGTTGACACGGGCTAACCAGAATTAAAACTTGTAGTGCACTGTTTCCTGGTGTAGGACCTCACCTTATACAGAATTCCATGATGAAAATGAGAAACTAGCTCACACTTACTTACCACACCCCATTGCAGTTGCTGCAGAAGAGCAGGCAATAGAGCAGTTCCACATAGCTTAGCACATACCTCGATCTGTAGATGCAGCAGCTTAGCAGATAAATTCTTTTAAGGCTTCCTGTTTCAGATGCACAAATGCCCATAGCATTTATACATCTGTATAGTAAAGCCATTTTGTGCATTTTGCACAAACAGCAACAAAACCAGTATTTTGATAGTTTTGACCCAGATTAGGTCTTTGATTAAGGCTCATGCTGGCAGCATAAAGAAAACTAAAATATCTATGCTTCCTGCAAGCAATTCCTAAAGTACTAGTAAAGTAAGTACCTGGCCCTAGGAGGGGACAACTACATTGTATCCAGTGAGTGTTAAGGCTGCTCCATCCAGCTTTCAGAAGCTGGGAAGCACACAGTATTTCCTGCAGAACTTTAATTTGTTCTTATGAAACGTTGCCAGAACAAAGGCTAGAATTCAGAGACATGAGGAGCAGCGTTCCTGATCACCTTAAATTCCCACAAAAAGTTTAACACCTCAATCTAATGAGGACACGCTTCCTTTTTTGCTGCATGCCATATCTCACACAGTACAACCACCACCTCCTCCCAGGCGAATGCCTCCTTCACACATGGATTACCTATTGCAGCACTACAGATAAGTCTGTCTGGAGGAACACAGATGTTACTGTAAGTAGAAAGAGAAGTACAATAGATTTCATCCAGCCTAATTCAACTGTGTATTGTATAATGGTTCACCTCATCAGCTGCGCCACATTGACATGCCCTGGCGTGGTATGGCAGATAGTTTACCATTAGCCCAGCTAAGCTAGACTGGTCCGAAGTACAACAGATTTCATCCAGCCTAATTCAACCGTGTATTGTATAAATGGTTCACCTCATCAGCTGTGCCACATTGACATGCCCTGGCGTGGTATGGCAGATAGTTTACCATTAGCCCAGCTAAGCTAGACTGGTCCCATGCATCTACTAACACAGTAAGGTAGTTCAAAGTAAACTAAAAAGAGGCATAAAAGCTGAGTCCTGGTGTGTGGTACAACAGATCAGTTTTCAGATTCCTTCTTTCTTACTTTTGTTTTCCTTCTGCAGGAAGTGGAAGAATTCAGCTTTATTACCCAGTTAGCAGGCTTGACAGACCACCTACCAGTAGCAATGCGTCTCATGGTGTCTACAGGAGAAGATGACCCTTAAAACTGACCAGCTTTGAGAGATTAGAAGAGGGAAACGTTAATGATATTAAGAAAATATCAGAGGATAAGAACGAACTATTCTGGTGCCACGTTAGGAAAGTTGACCAGACCTGACCCGGGCTACTCCCAGAATGTACCAACAATGGAGAATTATAAAAAGGGAAGAAATGGAAGGGGTTGTGGCCAAAAGCCACTGTCACAAGTTGCTCAGGCAACAGGGCAGGCCTGTACTACAATGCTTTCACTGTGGACCGAACGGAACCAAGATGGAAGTCCTAATTCCTTCTGAACCAGTGCCATTCTTACTAAAACATGTTTTTATACTAATATATAGCACAATTTAGTTTGTAATTAGTCTGTGAGTTAGTGCTGCTCAATGGTTTTTTGCATCATTTCTTTGTATAACTAAGAAGCTAAAGCTTTTTTTCTTTTTTTTTAGCCTGTTAAAGTTGTAGTAGCGTGCTTGCATCAGTAGCATGCGCCCGCACTGCATGCCACTCTGACGTAAAATAGTCAGTAAGATACCATGGGGAATATCAGAATGGAAGTGAGTTCAAAAATCAGATACCAGCCAAAGCAAGGCATTCTGGGACTGGCAAACCTTCTGTCATTACAGATAGACCTTAAAAATAAACAAACAATAACTATTCAATCTGCAGACCAATATCCTCCTGTCCGATTTGAGGACACTTAAAAGATTTGGAAATAAGACTTCAAGAACACAGTTCTACCCTTATTCCAACTGCGTTGCCACTGAAATTATGAAGTGTTTTGTCTGAATAACGACTCCAGAATTGGGCCTTTAGCTTTCTAAAGCGCAACTTATTCCCTTAAGAAATATAGTTCCCCTGTAATGTCTTTTCTTTCTTTCCCCTGTACGTGGGGCAGTTCTGAATTATGGTATGGGATGATATATATGTTACAGTAGAGTGAATAGATTCCTGTAGTACCAATGGTAACACCAGAGCCAACATTCTGCCTTAGCTAGAAAGAGTAAGTGGGAAATAGCTTGTAAAATGCATGCTAGATATAGAGTTAAAATAAACTTAAGTGACATTTTGGGAGAAAAAGTGTAGAACAGTGTATGATTGATAAGGCAGGATAACCTAGCAATTTTCCAAAGGAATCGGTACACTTAAAGGGAAAGTGTATCATGGCTGGCTACTAGAGAATAGACCTGTGACTCTCAGCCTTGGGTAACTACTTCCTATGAGCAGAGGGTTTGTTTATGTCTGTGAGACAATTCTCCATTTGTTACACAGACTTTAATAGGAGTCCTGCCATCTTATTCATATGTTCTTTCCACTGCAGCTCTTTAAATGGGAGGGTCCCCTCTGCCATCTTATCCCCGTGACCTGACCTACCCAGCCTCTGTAACTTTAACAAAAATAATGAAAAACTGAGAATCAGGTCCATAACAAGAATTGGTGGTTTTTTTAGGGATTTAAATTCAGAAGGGTTTGTGTTGCTGGGAGAACGACGAGACCCCTTGCGTTTTAACCGAGACTTAGTTTCTTCTGCCTACTGCCTGTTCAATTTTAGTGTTATTTCCTCATACATTACAAATTCCCTGTGTTAACAAGAAAACAGTTAATCTCATAGTTATACTTACTCCATTAAGTAAACTGTTAGTTACGCTGGCCACAAACTCCTGAAGATGCTCTTGTTTTGGTTTAGGTTACACCTGCTAGGAATCAGCTTGAGCTAAATCAGAATATATTTAAATTAGAAATCCCAGTCTGCACAGCCTCTGGTACTGGCCTAATCAGCTACAGTAAACAAAAGAACTTTTGCTTAGATCAGCCTGATTTTGCAAGTAGAGAAACTCATAAAAAGAAGTACTGGACTAACAGTATTGGCTAATTCCAAGTAGGTAGTGGGCCACTGCTCACACTCTCCCACTGTACCTGGTCTTGACACGTTTTATGCCTCATTTTCCAGTCCTGGCATCCCTTCAGCAGAGACTGCCTCTTATAAGTGTACTGTGCCAAACCAAGGGGTAGTCTGCAAGTATAACCCATGGGGACTCAAAAATAGAACCAGACTCAATTCCCCTTTTTGATAAAATTAGGAATTCAAGTTTACAGCATCAGAGACTTTAGTGTACTATCCCAGTGCACCACCACTTTCCCACTTTGTATGTTTCTCTTTATACAGAGGGTGCACATATGTGCAATTTGTTTTTCTGGTTTCTTATCTCTCCACCCAATTCAGAAAGACTTGTACCTGAAACAATGCTTTTAATCCTATTTTCTACCTTGCTTGTATTTTATTAACCTTTTTAAAAAAAAAACCAGACAGTATCAGTAGCAATTTGTGTGCTGTCCAGCAGCTATTTCTCAGTAGTAAGATTAAATATAAGGTACAGTATTTTTAATAGCTTTCCTAACAATGTAAATTACAATTTGATATCAACTTCACTAAGTATCAGTTGCAGGAGCTGAATCTGACACTGTGTGGGATATAATCATAAAACTACTGCCAAACAATGTTACATTTACAGTAAAACTAACATGGTCTAAATTACTTTTAAATTAGTTCTGTGGCTTTGTGCTGACTAAAAACCAGGCACTTTTGTCAACTTTTTGAGATACGTTGAGAAATATTTTTCAAATTTGAAGTAAACTGTTTTAGATTTTGATGTTCTTAGTTTCTCTGTGATCGAGAAATGGGTAGTTGTAAAATGTTCTCTTTAAACAATACACATACATTTAACCAGTCTAGGTAGTTCTTACTAATTTACTGTCTTAAGGATCTAACTTTGCAAGAGAGTGATGCTGGGAGGTACAGCATTGTGGCACCACTGTACAGATGCTCCTTGCTTTTTTGCATTGATCCTGTGCCTTCTGATGCCTTGGTACGCTTGCAGGAGTCAGAGCGCGTATGTACCGGTAAACTGTAACGAACAAGCTTTCCTTTCCAGAAGGGTAACATCCTGGAGAAAAATTAGTTTTGACTACACCACTACTACAGTTCCATATACTATCTCACAGAGACTCATTCGGACAACACCTGTACCAACAGGATATCAATCATTACAAGCCTTAGACAGATACTATGTAATAGAGTATTTGCATTTAAAAAAAAAATTAAAAAAATCAAACCCTGGATTGCTTTTTCAGATGTCAAACCCACTTTGCTTAAGGATAGTGTCCCAATTTATTAGTAAAAATTTGAGTTAGGCTTACTCTACTATGCTTACCCCACTTTGTACAGGAATTTCAGGTATCTTCAAGAAGTGGGTGATAACGCTGTTCTTGGTTTAGTAACTCTCACTTAACAGGGATGTTGTAGATGAAGTGTCATCTGTTTTTATAAAAGCTAGATAGCATCTTCTGTTTCTCACATTCAGTTTGCATTTTACAACAGCACTTCTAGAACAAGTGAAAAGACACAAATGAGGACAGCCAAAAACTAAGAACTTCCAGAAGTTTCAAGGATGTCAGGTCCCTACAAAGTTACTACATTTAGATCACTTCAAAAACACAACCTACAGAAAACAGCATTTAGCCTCTCAGGCCCACAGAGATCCCATTAATCTGTGCGCTGTTTGAGGGATATGTGATCCACCCACTTTGCACCATAGCTCAGCCACTGAGGACCAGGGTAGTAACACCTAGTGTACAGCTTCATGCTGCGTAAAGTGTTTAATTCAAGTGGCAGCCAGCTAGTTTTACTCCATTACAAACTGGATGCTTACTAGAAGCATAAACTGTATCACAGACTGGCTCCAAGAGAAGCCTGCAGCCCACTGAGGTGTGGCCTGCTGTAGAGAAACCCTTGCGAAAGCTGCCTGGTGTAACGAGTTTACCTATCTTGTGCTAGTATTACGATAAGGTTTTATCCCAGAAGCACTCTCGGCTAGTCTGGCTAGACCCTCAGTCCTACTTGTTGGGTAAGACAGTAAGATTTAAGGAACTTACAATTCCAATAAAGAAATTTTTTTTAATTGTCTTTGTTTGGTGGTCCACATTAAGCAGATCTGACTGTCCCCAGTTTGGTCTCTGAGCTCCCTGGGATCACACAGCAGCACATCAGCGTCAGCACATATCATCAGCTCAGAAATGAAGCATTTTTACCTCCTCCTAACACTACAGGATGAGAACAGAAATAAAATTCAGGCACTTTGAAAAAACCCAGTATTATCATCCATTACAATGGGGGTCAAATTGTTACTGAAGGTCTCATTTTTCCATGCCATCTTGTTTTCAATATAATCTTGATGCTTTTAAAGACTTGTATTATTGCTGAGGTTTAGAAATCCTATAATAAGAATAACCTTTTTTATTTCAATGATTTTTCGGTATTGTATCCTTCTGGAACCTAATGTTTTTATATGGTAAGCACACACCTTCTGACATTTTGTTATAAATGTATTAAAAAAATAAAAATTTAAATATTTTCATTGGTTTCTTTGCCTGCAAGAAAACCACAATCTCAGACCTGATAAAAACACGGTATTTTGAACAATAGGGAGGGTTTTTTGTCTTTTATTGGTGCTGAAAGGAATAACTGGTTGATGCAAACAAGATAATAAAATTTCAAGGCTCAATGATTCTGTGGAGTCCACTTTTTCTGGTTTTGTGATGTGGAGTCTGACGGCACTAACAGAAATCTGACTCTAAGATGCAGTCTGGTGGGTGGCTCAAGTATGGTCTCACTGTGCTACGCCTGTTCTAGTGAACCTGCAGAAAATAAAGGGTGAAAGAAATGACTCCTTTTAACTGACTCTTCACCTTGGCCTCTACTGCTCAGACATCCCCCTGGACAGACACAACCCACTCAGTTTTCAGGGTGTGCAACCTTCACACAAGCATTCACAGTGCCCGCTGTAGGGTGCAAACCTGAACCCCACATCTTGTGCCAAGACCCCACTTTAAGTACGAGGATATCCACTCTGCATTGCATTCTGCTAGCATTTAATATAAGACCACTTCACAAGAACAATTCCTTGCAGTTGTACATCTTGACATCTCAACAGTTATCTAATCCCTGAACTGA